GTGAACCTACAGGATCTCTCAGGGGCTTTAAATTAATCAATCAATCCACAGACATTGAGCTGAATCTCTCTACCTTGGGCTAGAGACTCTGCAAAGTGCTTTAAATGGGAAAAAAACCAAAGGGCCAGCTGCCCTGCCCCCAGCGATAGCCCAAGGCTGCCTTCCGTGGCCAGGGAATTGGTCTGTCAGTTCAATCACGCGGCCCCTCTGACTGGTGTTTTTCACTAAGCTGGCCCCGTGGCCACTCCGGTCATGTGTAGACATGGCCTCAGGAGGGGTACATCCTTCTCTTTTTGAGTCCTGGCCATTTAATCGTTCCTCACACAATTTTAAGGGAAATAACAGCAAAACCCAACCCTGTCAATCACCATTTGCTCCCAGGTCTCAGAGCAGCACCTGAAGAACAAGTGTGCAAGGACGTGTCCCTGGACACCTTAGGGTTACAAAGTGAGGTGCGGACAAAGTGGGTAGGAGAAATATTGCCCCGAGCCATCTGGGGACCCTGAAGATTTCATAGGGCCCCCAGTCTCTGGGTCTTGCAAACATGCTCTGGGAATGGGTCCTTCTTGAAAAAGGACGGGAGGTTCTCTAAGTGATACTGCCTGAACTATATAGCAGTTTTAGGACTCACTGCAGCGGGTCCCTGTTAGTATTAATGTAAACATAAGTGAGCCAAGCGGAGATTGGAATATAAGGGACGGCTCCTCACCTCCAGCTCTGTGTTGCTGATGTTGTTTTTAAAGATAAATGGGACTCACGATTTTTGTGTGAAGTCTCTTTATTTTAAATACTGGTAGTCAATTCAAGTTATTTTTAAATATTGGCATCCAGTTCAAGCTATTTTTTAAATAAAAATATTTTAAAATATATTTTTATTGATTTCAGAGAGGAATGGAGAGGGAAGGAGATGAGAGAGACTCATTGATTGGTTGCCCCTTGCCCATCTCCTACTGGGAATCGAGTCCACAACCCTGGCATGTGCCCTGACTGGGAATTGATTGCTTAAACACTGAGCCACACGGCCAGGCAATTCACCTTTTTTTTTTTTTTTTGACCCTCCATGGACCGAGCCTGTATGCCAGAGGAAGCCAGGTGCAGGTCCCCTTAGAACCCACCTCCTTATTTTATGGAGCTACTGTCCAGAGAGGTAATGCAGCTAGCTCCCCGGGACCACACTGGCAGGATGGAGAGCAGCATCTTTTGGCTTCACTGGTAAATCCTGGTGGCAGTAGAAACCGTCCTAACTTTGTAGCAGGACAATGGGCAGGATCAGTGTGAGACCTGAACACAGGCCACTGAGAGAATTACAGGTCTCAGTCCTGAACAGGTACCTTGAGAGTGTTCAGTTCTCTGAGCCAGAGCTCTAGCACCGACTCACAGACCACGGTGACACTGTGTGACTGACTGGGGCCTGCAAGCCTGCGGCAAGGAGGCAGGGAAAAGCCTGGATAACAACCCTGTGGCCATCTGAGTCCTTGCAGGGGCATCTGTGACTTTGGGCGTACCTGGGAAGAGAGCAGGACACCCGCCTTCCTTCCTGCACCTCTACCATCAGCCACCACCACTAGAAGCATCCCCTGCACACACCCCATCATTCAGTTACCATACAATACTTGGGAAGCAGATGTGAATACACTTATTTTACAGGTGACATGCCCAGGGCTCAGGGGATTGAGTACCTGCCTAGGTCAGGCGGCTGGTTCCCTGCACAGCAAGGAGGTACAGGCAACCCCAGGTTGAGCTCGCTCTACATTGAAACAGAACTTTCTTTGTCACCTGCCTTTCTCCTTCACTGCCACCTGCCTCATTATATTCACCTGGAAGGGGCCTGGGTCTCTCTTTTCCTCTTTGGGTTTTTGTGAAAGGTGACCTGCAAACTCTGCCTTCTATGGACAGAAGGTGGACACTGCAGACACACCAGCCCAGCTCAGAGTGTCTCTCCAACGGAGGGTGGGAGGACAGAGGATGATCCCTCCTTGATGGGAAACAGGAATTCCCCAGCAGAGAGAGGAAAAACAGGAAGGAGACTAGAATGTATAATTACCACGCAATTATCCACACCCCCCTCCATTTTCCAAATTGTAAGTTCTTTTTTATGTAACCACTTTCTGTTAAAGAGGAAGAAATAGCTTCACCAGCAGTGTAAAATATATACTTTCTAATGTAAATCAAGAAGCTATTAATACCCTAATAAGAACATGGTAGAATATTAATTGATGGAAATTGTAGAGTGGAATATTCATAATCAGCTGCAGTCTTTTCTTTGGAAGGAACAAAGGATTAAGTTAGGGAGACAGTAATGGTATTGTTAGTGGGCTATTTCAATGATTTTCTCTGTGGAAGAGTAGAGAAAGGTGAAATTCCAACTGGGAATATTACACTATGCAGATCTCTGCTCAGGGGTATTCGCCTCTGTTTAAACTGCCGAGCTCTGCTCTGCCTTATGATCCAATTGTTTTATTAGAGGAATCATTGCGCGTTTCATTTTGCTACAGTAATAGTGCAGTGTCTGTCTTAACAATAAATTATAGAGTCAGGCAAACAATGGTTTTGTATTTGGGATACAATGAGATATCTTATTAAAATGCAGGCTTCCTTAGGTTCCTGAAATTAGAGTCTTATTTTAAAAAGATTCCATTGGGTTTAAGACACTGTTTTGAACTAATCACACTAACAGAATCACTCTTTTGTCAGACATAGAGGACTATGGGAGTTACCTGTTTCTTTAGTCTTTTTCCCATTCATATTTTATTCTCTTCTGGAGAGAGCTTATTGGTTAAACAGGAAAGGCATCATTCCTTTGCATGTGAAAGATACAATGAGATCTAAAGCAGTCATATCCTCCCTGCCAAGTTTCTGAAGTGGATATTCTGTCCTGATAATATTCTGATAGCAATAATAATACTCCATAATAATAAATCATAGTTTTTGAATGATCACCTTATCCTGGGCACTGCAGAAAGCAGTTTACATAGTTTACTTTGTAGGATCCTCATTCTAGCCACCTAGGCGTATATACTGTCATTATCTTCATTTCACAGATGAGAAGATTGTGGCTTAGAAATATTAAGTGGTTTCTCTCATGTCACATAGCTTGGTCAATGTTAATACCGGGTCTTGAATCTCTGCTGTCTGGTTTGTGATACTTTTGACTTGTCATTGCTGATTAATTTTCATTTCTCTGCTCATCTCTCGGATTAGAACCTTTCTGTGTTCTTGAATTCAACAAGATTGAATAGCAGTTGCCTCTTCAGCCTCCAGCACACTTTTGGAGATTGTGAATGGGGTCACGGGGGAGCAATAATTTTTGCAGTCATTTTTTTTTCTTTCTTCAGGTTCTATATATCAAGTCCCCCCTCGAGGGCTAGGCTTTGTGCTATGTTTTATGCCCATCATCCTTTTCTCTCAGTCTCTGCAGCACGAAGAGAGGTGCTGTTATTATTTGCACTGCAGTTGAGTTATCTGAAGCTCAGAGTTTAAGTGGCCACTCAGGATACCAGCTCTGGTGACTGGGGTGTCCGGAGAGCATTCAGGCCTGTCTGGCCCCACCCCCGTCCTCTCAGCAGCCTCAATGTGTCATGGATGTCCCACTCTGATTGTCCAGTGCTCTTTGGGTGAACACAGGAAACTATGTTAATTAAAAAAAAAGAGTTTCTTCCCTGAGATGAAATTGAAAGGGACTACTGACAAAGAGTCTCTTTCAATTGTCACCAGGCTCCTCTTCCCAAAAAGGCCTTGACTTTTGGAATTCCATGTCCTTTTTTGGCATGACCCAGTTTTAGCAGCACTCCCTCCAAGTGGATTTACTGATGTATCTAGTCACCTTCTTCATTTCCCACATCCTCCAGGCAATGTATGATCACCCTGACCTGCCTGCAGCAAGAATCCTATTAGGTAGGTTAGCAAGAATTACTCTACCATCTTAGTAATTTTTCATCTATGAACCCTCCCACTCTGCTTGCCCTTGGCTATAAAATCCCCACTTTGTATTCGGAGTTGAGCCCAGTCTCTCTTGTACTACAGAACCCCATTGCAGTGGTCCCTATAACAAATGCAGTAATCCCCCAGATAAAGTCTGCCAGGAGTAATTTTTCTTCTTTTGCATTACCACTTTGTTGTTGAACTGGTTGGACCCAGTGGATTTGGGATGGGAACGCCAAGTAGCCACTGTCCATCTGACTGAATGTCAATGGACAACCTCAAAAATTAGAACGTGCATTTAGAAGACTAACCAACATTCCGATGCTTCTGCATTCCGGTGGGCTCAAAATATTTCTTCCTGTGTGCTCCAAATGTGATAACGCCTGGGGATTTCTTTCCTTGTATTTCTCACCACACCAACACCTTCACCGTCTGCCATCCTGTCCTCTTATCCTGGACTCCCTGGGCCACATGGAAGCTTTACTCAGTAGGTGCTCCCTTGTAAATAATCGCGAGGCCCCTCGATTACTCAGCAGATATTCAGAGCGTGTGTGCCAAGATGGTGCTAAAGTGGTACAGGATGAGCAGAAGACAGTTGTCATCTGTCAGATCCCAAAAGCTCATCTGTGACAAAATTTTCACTAGTCTGTTTAAAAACAAGGACAATATAGACAAAGTAGTGAGTTTCTCATAAAGCACATAGTATGCATTTTTAAAATTTATTTTTAAAAATGTTTTTATTTCATTTATTTTAGAATTGTATCCTTTACCCACCTTTTTAAATGTTAAATGTTTTTTCCTTTCAAAATGATAACAGAAAATAAGTTGGTTTCCTTCCCTTTTTTGTTTCTTTTTTTTTAATGTGCTCTCTCTGATTTCATTGTTATTGCTTTAAATCTTTAATTTACAAAACAAAATGTTAGCAAATCTATGTCAGCCTGCCTATTTCTTTTTTTCCTTTTGATTTTACTGGACCTTAACTCTAGAAGTCTAGGTATTTCTGATGGATGTGTATCCTCTAAGCTTGCCACTTGATGATACTCAATACTCTATTGTTCCTGATTATTTTTTAAATGTAGCTTTGTCTCTCCAGCCTCCTGCTTCCTGTCTCCCTCAAGGTGTGTTGCACTCAGGCATGCTGTAAGTAATCAATACTTGGTGATTTGACTTCTTAGCACCCCCCCTCCCCCCAAAAAAATAAATAAATAAATAAAAATCTCCAGGTGCAAAACACAAAGGCAGACCTCTTGTCAAGGGATTCCTCACTTTTCCATTCTCAGCCAAGGGGAGACAAGGCCACTCCAGACAGCACCCCTCCTCCCTCTTTGGCTCTTGTAAAAAGGATGGCTAGTTTTCTATTGCTATTGTGCTAACTGAAGAGTCGAAAATGTGCCTGGAGTTTAAAATCACCCAATGCCTGTCCTTTCTAGAGCAACCTCATTAACAACCCAAATTTAAAATTGTATTGTTAAGAGACTCAGCACTCACCAGAACCATCCTCTGCACCCACCCACCCCCCCCCCACCCCCCTCAGGGCTTGTGCTGTGTCTGAAGCACAGTTCTGTTCTGTGCAGATCCCTGAGTGTTACAGCTGATGTGCATGCCCAGCTATCTTTGCTCTTCATCCAAGTGACAGGATGGAGCCCCGCTGAACAAGGTTGAGGCACTCAGTGGTTAAACTGAACCCTCCTCCTGGTAGAGTGGTTGTGCCTCTTTTTTTCCAGCCTATATTTGACCCCTTAACTAACATACCAGCTTAAATGCCTCTGAGTGGGAAAAGAAGCTGAAACACGCACATTTCGAATAGGCTCAGCATCTGAATTGGATGGGCAGCTTGCTTTCTTTGTAAAGCAGCTATGGGAATGCCACTGTCCGGATATATCATAGTTAGGAGAAGCAGTTTGTTAAGAGGGGTATTTACACCCCCCTCCCATCCCAACTAAGGACATTGTTCACTTTAAACTTAGAATTTAGAATTTATGGCCACAAAGTATTAGTCCACAGCCAAGCATCATGATTTTTTTAAGGAGGTCAAAATTTACCATAGGGCTTTTTAAACACTTAATGTAATTAACATTAAAAAAAAACAGATCATTATTTTCAACAAAAATGGACTACATTTGTAGTCTCCTCTTTTTATGCAGTATGTTCATTTAAAAAGTTTAATAGATTTAAAAATTTTGACATATTTGTTATCAATCCTTTTTGCTTTACTTTTATGTAAAGGATATTATTTACCACAGATACAGAAGCACAAATTAGATGGTCACTCGGGATTTCCTCTTTTTGCCTTTTGGAGCCCATGAAG